TTATGTCTATCTATGTTCTAAATCCCATCATGTTTGGTTGGAAACCAAGGGAGTTATAGTCATTTAAAGTTTCAGCCAATCAGATTGCAGCACACGTGCATGCACGTGATTTCACGAAAATTTTTATATATCATATTGTAGGGAATCCTAATGTATGACTATGTTATAAATTTCAAAGCATTTCATCGAAAAACAAAAAAGATATTGAGGATTTTGTTTCAGCCAATCAGAGCAAAGCGCACGTGCATGCGCGTGAGTTCATGCAAATTTGACCACGTAATCATATCTATACATCTTATATATCCTTATATAATGAGTTTCAAAACATTTCATCAAAAAATATAGAAGTTACATCCATATTAAATATATCAGTCAATTCACTCATTTCACGCGCACGCACGTGCATGCGTATGCGCGCAAAATGACCTTCGTTCCGCACACCTACACTACACACCTATTAACCCTAAAAAGGTTTTAGCTCAGTTGGGTGAACAGTTTCTGAGAACACTCGCGGACAAAAAAAGTACAGGAGAAGAAATAAGAAAAAAAAATAATAATAATAATAACTAGAAAAGAAACTCGTTGCGAGCAACGAGAGGTCTTCCGTCTGATTCTGAAAAAAAACCTCCGCAAAATCGAGCTGAAAAAAAAGTGATCAAACTTCTTATGGAGACAAATGGGATTAAACCCGAATTGCCAGTGTGAAAATGCAATGCGCTTACTATTACGCTATTGGGACTACAGCTCTAAATGTATTTGTATACGTATACTTCTGCAACAGTACATCTGTCTTAGAATAATGAAAGGCGAATCACTATTCTTAATTTTGCGTCAAACGTAACGAGTAAATCTTTGCACCTTTGCTTTGGAATGTTCCATTTAATAGGTGTGATAGCTTCAATGGAAAGAAAAAAAGAACGTTCTTATAGCTAAAATATCAAGGTGAAGACAGTATAATTAACACATTTTACAAATTTCATATATAAGCAAGTAACACTAAAGCAGTGAAACAGTTATGCATTTTTAACTTTTTAAAATTTCCTGTTTTTCACCTAAGTGAACTATCCCGACTAGCTAAGCTTTCATGAAAAGGTTGTTATGTTTTGCCGAAAAACATGTATCGCCCGAAGACAGTCAATGAATCGCATACCATTCATGCTAAATAACTTGAATAAGATCTTTGAGACAAGAATGTTCATATAAACTTCATTTAGCGATCTTTTAAAAAACTGTAATCTTATTTTGTCTTTTCTATAATTTTCATATGACACAAGTGTGCATGGGAAAAACAGATTGTAATTTTTATACATACTATATTCATTGATATTGTTTCTAGAAAAACTATTACTTGTAACTATGATTTAAGATCTGTTTTCACGTGTTGCAAATCAGAAGGTACCGGTATTAGGTATCGAATTTCATTTTCACATTTAGTCTTTTCTTTTTCTACTTTGAGAACCAGCCAAAACCAATTATAGATGACATTTACGAAGAACATAGTTCGACACAGAATTGCAACGTAACTACGACGTGAATCCAAGTATTCCTTTACATTTTATTTTTCCTTGTCTTACCTTCATTCAAGCAAACGCTCGGCTGACTCCGTAAACCCCTATTGCGAAATGTCGGAGTTGACAGAGACAGCCGCCATCTTGGACCCGCTTCAGATTTTCAAATGCTAATATCTAGAGTTTCGATTTATCAATATTCAAACAAATTATATAGTGAGCATTATAAGAAAGATATCTATTAACATACTAAATATCAATGAAAAATATTGAAAAACAAAAAAGTTAGAAAAATACGATTTTTTAAGTTTGCATCTCGTAACGACCGGAAGTATTAACGACGCACAAAAAGGTGATTCTGCAAACCAAAAAGTCACGAGCTATTGTCTCCAATAAGTCTCCAGTTCATATTTTTAGCCATTTTTGATAAAAGTGCGCGACAAAATCGCATTTTAAAATCAGAAAATTGTCCATAACTTGGCACCGGAAGCGAATTTTCCAAAAAAAATTATAGACTGCACAAGTTCATGTAATGACGCATTTTTTGTGAAAGTTTCGTTGAAAACCGCTGAATAGTTTTCGAGAAATCGCGTGCACAAAATTTTGTCAAAAAAAGAATAATAATAATAATAATAATAAGAAACAATACAATCACTATAAGGTCTTCCGTGAAGACGGAAGACCTTAACTAGTGCTAATTGTAACGGGGACCGTTACAGATGTTCCCCAAACGCTCCCCAACTCCCTTTTATAGTCATATTCCCTGTAAGCGTAATTAAGTAAGACAAACTTTATGCATTTGAGACTTTAACAACGTTTACCCAGAAGTGTACCATGTTCATTCAAATTTCATCATTACACACTTGCGCATGTTAATGCATGTGCGTAATGACCATATCATATTCTCTACACAATCTATATATTTTAATATGCTAAATATTAAAGTACTAAATCCAAAAGTATAAAAAAAAAACGCTCATTCAAGTGTATTTTTGATTTTACCCATTTCACGTGCACGCACGTGCATACATGAGCATGGTGACCATACCTTCTTGTAGAAGTCCATTACATCTATCTATGTTCTAAATCCACCCTGTTTGGTTGAAAACCAAGGGAGTTATAGCTGTTTAAAGTTTCAGCCAATCAGATTGCAGCGCACCTACACGCACGTGTATGTATGTGCATGGTGACCATACCTTCTTATAGAAGTCCATTACATATATATATCTTATTCAAATTACAACCTGTTTGGTTGAAAACCAAGGGAGTTATAGCTGTTTAAAGTTTCAGCCAATCATATTGCAGCGTTTGTACACGCACGTGTATGCATGTGCATGGTGACCATATCTTCTTGTAGAAGTCCATTATATATATCTATGTTCCAAATCCCTTCCTGTTTGGTTGAAAACCAAGGGAGTTATAGCTATTTAAAATTTCAGCCAATCAGATTGCAGCATTTGTACACGCACGTGTATGCATGTGCATGGTGACCATATCTTCTTGTAGAAGTCCATTATATATATCTATGTTCCAAATCCCATCCTGTTTGGTTGAAAACCAAGGGAGTTATAGCTATTTAAAATTTCAGCCAATCAGATTGCAGCGCACGTGCATGCACGTGATTTCATGATAATTCCTATATATCGTTTTGTAGGATATCCTAATGCATGGCTATGTTCAAAATTTCAAAGGATTTCGTCAAAAAACAAGAAAGATATTGAGACTTAAGTTTCAGCCAATCAGAGCGTAGCGCACGTGCATGCGCGTGAGATCTTCCCATATTGACCACGTCATCTTGTTTATACTACTAATACATCCTTACATTATGAATTTCAAAACATTTCGTCAAAAAATAGAAAAGTTACGGCACTATACATTATATTGGTTATTCACGTGTTGCACGTGCGCGCTCTTGCAAGCACGTGCGCGCAAAATGACCTTTGTTCCGCAAATCTACATAACATGTCTACTGACCCTAAAAACATTTCACCTTAGTTGGATGTGTAGTTTACGAGATCATTCGCGGACAAAAAAGTGCCCAGGAAGAAGAAAAATAATAATAATAAGAAACAGAGTAAAAACAATATGTTCCCCAACTTCGTTTGGGGAACATAACTAGTGCTAATTGTAACGGGGACCGTTACAGATGTTCCCCAAACGCTCCCCATCTCCCTTTTGGTGCCATATTCCCTGTTAGCTTCATTTAATAAGACAAACTTTATGCATTTGAGACTTTAACAAGGTTTACCCAGAAGGGTACCAAGTTCATTCAAATTTTAGCATTGCACGCGTGCGCATATGAATGTACGTGCGTAATGACCATATCATCTTGTCTACACTATCTATATACTTTAATATACTAAATATTAAAGTATTTAATTCAAAAGTATTAAAAAATAGGCTCATTCAAGTGTATTTTTGGTTTTACTCATTTCACGTGCACGCACGTGCATACATGAGCATGGTAATATACTCTTGTAGAAGTCAATTACATCTATCTATGTTCTAAATCCCACCCCGTTTTGTTGAAAACCAAGGGAGTTCTAGTTGATTAAAGTTTCAGCCAATCAGATTGCAGCGTACGTTCACGCACGTGTTTTGATGTGCATGGTGATCATACCTTCTTGTAGAAGTCCATTATATCTATCAATGTTCCAAATCTCATCCTGTTTGTTTGAAAATTAAAGGAGTTATAGCTATTTAAAGTTTCAGCCAATCAGATTGCAGCGCACGTACACGCACGTGTATGGATGTGCATGTTGACCATACCTTCTTGTAGAAGTCTATTATATCTATCTATGTTCCAAATCCCATCCTGTTTGGTTGAAAACCAAGGGAGTTACAGCTATTTAAAGTTTCAGCCAATCAGATTGCAGCACACGTGCATGCACGTGTTTTCTTGATAATTGCTATATATCATGTTGTAGGATATCCTAATGCATGGCTATGTTCAAAATTTCAAAGGATTTCATCAAAAACCAAGAAAGATATTGAGACTTTAGTTTCAGCCAATCAGAGCGAAGCGCACGTGCATGCGCGTGAGATCTTGCTATTTTGCCCATGTCATATTGTCTATGCTACTACTATATCCTTATATTATGAGTTTCAAAGCATTTCATCAAAACAGTGAAGATTTACGTCTATATCAATTAAATCGGTCATTTCACGTGTTTCTCGTGCGCGCTCTTGCAAGCACGTGCACACAAAATGGCATGTTGACAATGTCATCTTATCTACATTTATAATATGTCTACATATTCTAAATAACAAAGCATTACATCGAAAAATGTAAAAGTTACGGCAATTTCAAGTATATTGGTCATTTCACGTGTTGCACGTGCGCGCTCTTGCAAGCACGTGCGCGCAAAATGACCTTCGTTCCGCAAATCTACGTAACATGCCTACTTACCCTAAAAAGGTTTCCCCTTAATCGGATGTGTACTTTACAAGATCATTCGCGGACAAAATTTTCCCGAGAAGAAAAATAATAATAACTAGAGCAAAGCTCGTTGCAAAGCAACGAGTGGGTCTTCCTTCCTAGCGATAAGCAAAAGATTAAATGTTTCTGTCTAGATTGTCAACTTTGCTAACATTCTCTTTTTCGATTTGTCTCAGAAACCCTTACTTGAATTCTTTAATTTGGTGTGAGCATGAGGTCTAAAGGGTACTCTCTCTAACAGCATTCTTGAAATCGTATCCACAACAGTTTAACTTCCAATATTATGACTTTTGATATCGGATATATCATGTTTGTGAAACGTGTCATACTACAGAAACATAATTGTTTTGCTACATTACCATCTTAAAAATGGCTTTAAAATCATTTAATATACAATATAACTAGGTAAATAAAATAAACAAATTATATAATAATTCAAAAAATCCAAATGTATTTACAATAATGATGAACAATCTTCATTAGTTGCAATCAGTAAGTAGAACAATACTTTTATAATAAACGCACAGAAATGTGTTGTGTATGTTTCGAATTTGCAGCTTTCCACTAGCAACTGGTGGTACCTCAATAGGAGTGTAAAATTCTCTGAAAGGTATATTGTAAACATATTACATATGGCTGTGTATTATTTTTTAGCGGCTTTGGCGGAATGCAGCAATCACTAAATCAAGTACAAAGCTAAAAGTCTTGTACATAAACATAAATAAGAATATCTACGCTAACTTATTCAAAAGTCAATTTCCACCAAATATTGTACAAGCTAAATATAATACATTTACAGCATTAAAGAAACAAATCTCTTTGAAGGTATTGCCCTGCATAAGAACAATTTGAATCCCCTACACTAAGGATGCTCTGTGCCAAGTTTCACTTTGGTTCTGGAAAATGATATTGTGAAATTTTAGACAATGATGATAATGGATAAAATTATGTTTTTAAAAAATTTACTGGTTCCTTTAGCTCAGATGGGCTAATAAATATGCAACAGGCACAGTTTTGCAGTTGACATTGAAATGCGACTGGACATCTCTTCAATCTTGTTTTAGAAAACTACATGTACATGCCCTATGTACTGAATTCCTTGGAATCATACACATGTTTATGCCTTTAATTAGTTGTATGTGCCAAAATAACAATTTTTTTTACATTATACTGTAAAAAATACACATACATGTATTACAAGATCTTCTATTCCTGCTGAAGACAGAGGATCTATCTTAATCATTAGAATAAGTAAGTCTAAACTTTGAAAGGGAAGACCTTAATAAAGAGGTCAACATGCTACACAAACAAAATATTATTATATTTAAAAATAACATTTATTCCAATGTAATTACTGGTACATGTATTTCTGTTACAAAAACTATTTCACTTGAAAAACTGAGAGCAATTGATATGTTCATATTTGTGGATTTATGTTGTCAAATCAAAATTTAAAAATGATACACAGTGTGTTTAAAAATTGTCTTCACAAACCAAAACTTGACTTATTTTCACTATGCTGTTTATTCCATGTCACATCCAAACAGATGATCTTCTGGCAAATCATGGTCATGCTTGGTATCAAAATTCAGTCTTCAGATGAGTCACACCTATCCAAAAGAAATTGAAATTTTTTAATCTATAATTCTTTTACTAATAAAAAGTGCAATTCATGAGATTATAAATTAGATTATCAAATTGAGAGATAAGATATTGTCACATTTTCTGTGTATAATTTGTAAATTTTAATGTACTCTTTCATCAATTAAAAGAAGTTTACACCAATTAAGGCAGTCATTTATGCTATTCCCTAATAAGACAACATACAAGTGCAAAGTAATCATGCACTAGTGGGTTTAGGATAATGTGCTAGAGTATTTATGACAACATACTAGCACGAGGTGACAATGTGCTAGCATGTACGTCAGTGATAATATGCCAGCACACTGAATCCAACATGCAGTGAAGCTAACACTCAACAGATTGTTTAAAGTTGTGTTTGCATGATATTTTGTTTTGTGTTAACACAGCAGCGTGTTGTTTAAAGCTGCATTGGAGTGGCAGTCTGTTGAAATTAACATGCTAACACACTGCAACTTCACATCATTGGAACACCATAATTTTAAAACTGACAAACCAATATCTTATGATTACTAACTAGGTAATTGCAACTGTAAATGCTGATTTCATGGTGACAATAATACCGGTAATTCACTGTATATCTGAGAACTGATCAATTATAATAAGGCGTGTCCAGATAGGGCCACTTGCTAAAGCTCAATAGCACTTTCATAAAAGCGTGCCATCTTACCGACACAAAAGACGCCATTAGGCTATCACACAGCTCGCCATCACAACACTGAAAAACACTTTCCCACTAACACAAGTTCGCATCACACGCTGTCACACTAACACACAACACACTGTCACGCTAATACAATTTCACACAACAAAATATCAGGCTAACACAAGTTCACACAACACACTATCATGCTAACACGAATTCACAAACACGCTGTCTCGCTAACACAAGTTCACACAACACGCTGTCTCGCTAACACAAGTTTTACACAACACGCAGTCTCGCTAATACGAGTTCATACAACACACTGTCTAGCTAACACAAGTACACGCAACACACTGTCACGCTTAGATGAATTCACACAACACACTGTCACGCTAACATGAGTTTACACAACACGCAGTCTCACTAACACGCGTTTACACAATACACTGTCACGCTAACACGAGTTTACACAATACACTGTCACGCTAACACAAAGTCACAAAACAGGCTGTCTCACTATTCACTAACACAAGTTCGCACCAAATGCTGTTGCGATAACACACTGTCATCCTAATACCATTTCACACAACACACTGTCATTCTAATACCATTTCACACAACACACTGTCAGGCTAACACGAGTTCACACAACACACTGTCACGCTAACACGAATTCTCAAAACAGGCTGTCTCACTATTCACTAACACAAGTTCGCACCAAACGCTGTTGCGATAACACACTGTCATCCTAATACCATTTCACACAACACACTGTCATCCTAATACCATTTCACACAAAACACTGTCAGGCTAACACGAGTTCACACAACACACTGTCACGCTAACACAAATTCAAAAAACATGCAATATCGCTAACATGAGTTCACATAACACGCAGTCTGGCTAACACGAGTTCACACAATATGCAATCTTGCTAACACGAGTTCACACAACACACTATCTCTCTAACACCAGTTCACACGACAAATTTTCAGGATAACAAGTTCACACAACACACTGTCACGCTAACACGAATTCACACAACATGCTGTCTCGTTAATAAGAATACACACAACACGCTGTCTCGCTAACATGAGTTTACACAACACGCAGTCTCGCTAACACGAGTTTACACAACACGCAGTCTCACTAACACCAGTTTACACAACACGAAGTCTCGCTAATACGATTTCAATCAACACTCTGTCTAGCTAACAAGAGTTTACACAACACACTGTCACGCTTACACTTTATACACGATTTTACACAACACGCTGTCCTGCTAACATGAGTTTACGCAACACATTGTCAAGCTAACAAGAATTCACACAACCCACTGTCAGGCTAACACAATTAAGTTCACAAAACACACTGCCTTGCTAACACAAATTCATACAACACACTGTCTCGCTAACACAAGTTCACACAACACACTCACATTGCTGAGTTTAAAGTAAAGGTCTACCCTAATTTGAAGAGGTTTAAAACTAACATATCTCTATATTAGTAAAAAGCTTCAAATTTAAGACAAAAACATTTATGCAGTAATGTTCCTTAACATGCATCTGGCATATAAAATGAATGAGACCTTAAAAACCTCACAGTACATGTTTACTTAGCTAATTAAAGGTCTAAATTGATGCTATTCAACAATATATATCAATATCTCTAAGTATGTGAATGAGTGAAATTCTCAAATAAATATTATAAATCAAAGTATCAATAAGAAGCTGAACCATACGTCGCAGGTTCCAATCCCATTGCTAAATGCTTTAGACAGGTTACTCCTATGAGACTGCATAAACCAAGATTCTGTGTCACGGTAGGTGTTAGCACAAAATGGATCTCATACTTCTTAAAGGCAATAAGTGCTGAGTACAAGTCTATATTTGCAGCTAATACCATCCCAAGTGGTGGCACCATGAAATGACTGAAAAATGTATGATTAAGGCAAATAAACAAACATTAAACCATTACAGCAGTCTTATCAAACAAAAATGCAAACTTTCTATTATTTCAATTTTTTTAAACAAATTTCTTTTGCAATTTAACTGAGCAACATTTGTCCTTTTTTATCAGTAAAGTATGATATTAAATAATTAAGACTTTTTGAGAACATCTATTTATAGCGAGTCCAGACAGCAGCACAAATCCCTGCCCATAATGCGAGCTCTTATGATAACACCTTGGCAAAAGAAGATTGTGACTTGCACATTGCTCCACACAATTTTTCCGCAGTATACTTTGGACACACAGTGCTTAGCTTCTTTAACATGTTTAAGCTACATTCAAAATTCATTTCTATTCAATTTGAATTAGCTATCCTTACTCATGTTCACATGGAGCTAATGGGAAGTAATTTAACGAGCAGTGAATTCATTCGAATTAAACATTTGAATAAACTCTCAGTGTGAACATTGAGCATGGATGCACCAAATGTCAAATGCGGCTTGACAAGCACAATCTAAATTAAAACTAAATAAGTATCTGCCCTCACCCTTACAGTCACACTGTCAATATATAATTAGTTGAATATATTCTGTAACATTAAGTGCAGTTTGAATTATAGAGTATGATCACTATGATAGATAGTAGGACTGTTGAAATTACATCCTCAAATTAAAAAAAAATAAAATATAAAGCTGTGGGGATTTACAAGGCAAACAGAGAGCGTCTGAACTGTAAAACAGATAATATATCGGTGTGTCTGTGTATTTCTAATAACATCAATGTACGTCACTGTCATGTAATCAGTAGTGTAAATTTTAAGTAATAAAAATATTCTAACCTTCATTCCAATGGTCCAAGCCAATCATACATTAAAATGTCGCCGTCAGCTCTTTCATCACTCGATACTGTGTAAAGGTTTTTGATAAATAAATAAATGAAACATCATTACATTGTTTTATTTATTTTTTCACAACACTTTCACATTTTTCCGAAAGGTCCACACGTGTTTTGAGCACGTGTTACTTGGAATTTTGTGTATTTGTGTGTAGAAATTATCACTGGGGAATCCGGAGCAGAGTCAAGAGTGTTCATCCTTGTTAATGTGACAGTCAGAATTTCCTCGTAAACAATTCACACAAGATTCTTAGAATATATGAATCGGGATAATTCTGCTTAGAATAATGTTCCAGAGAAGTGACAAAGTACTTCGTAGCTCCAGATTAAATGAGTGTGCATGTCTACAAACGGATTCTTTGTGAGAAAATGTTCAACTTCACAAATCATTCTATTTTCAGTTTGTAAACCATGACAAACATGTGTCCGACGTCGACTCGAAGGGGCACACTAAAAACGGGATATACTAGAGACCTGATATTTACCTGACGTTTTAATTTTTAATTAAATGGTAATATTGAGTATTTTAAATTACTTATGTACAGACTTTATGACTTCGAGGCATATGCTATACAAAAATTCAATTGTTTGGAACATTTACAGACAAATTTGAATCAGGTCAAATAAGTGTTTAGCACATCGCGTCTTTAGTACCTTCCTATTTCCCACAATGCCGCGCGTTGTTTACAAACAAGCGCGAAAAAATCCTCTAAACTAGGTACTATTTATTGTTGTGTACATCATCACATTTTAAAATTATTTGAATAAAAAGAAAACAAAGAAACACCGAATCAAAACTATATCTTTTAGATGCATCAACTAAAAATGTGCACATGTATGCAGTAAAGGCTTGGCTGGCTATAGTAGACAACTTGTTCCTGAAAGGTTTCTCACATACATGTACTTGTTTTATATAAAAAACAATTAAATATAGCTGGAAGTTTATTTCTTTTTATATCAAATGACAAGATTTTATAAGTTCGAAATTATTTCAGTCAAACTTTTTCATAATATACCAATATTTTTAGCTATCAGAAAAAACGTGTATGACCTATTAACCCCTAATTATAGGGGCCAGCCCCTTTTCATTAATCTAATATGAAAGCTCTCGTAATTACACACAACTTTTGTTATATATTTCTTACCAAATTATTCTCGGTTCAAAAGTTATTACACAAAAAGTAGCAAAAATTCAAGAAAAAAAATTACTAAAATTTGCCGTTTTATAGCTTCCAAACTTTAGGAAATCAGCTTATAATTTTATCGTTCTGCACATCTACAATGTATTGGCTACAAGTTCTCCAACTTTCGTGTAAATATCTTACGTGGTTCTTGAGATTTTTAGTGGAAACGAGACATCAAAATTATCAATTAAAGGGCAATAACTCACAATTAAAGGCATGCATCAAAAAATTGAAAACAGGTGTAAATAGGTTTAATTACAAGGTATCTAACCTGAAAGTTTCATAAAAATCAGTCCAAAGGTCTTTGAGAAATCGCCTGTCAAAAATCGAGCGGGAAAAAAAAAATAAAATAATAATAAGAAACAGTAGAATAACAGTAGGGTCTTCCGAAGGAAGCGGAAGACCCTAACTAGAAACGAAACTCGTTGCGAGCAACGAGAGGTCTTCCGTCCGATTCAGAAAAAAAAACGTAAAATCAAACTGAAAAAGTGATTTGAAAATCGGACACACGGGGGATCGAACCCGGGTCGCCAACGTGAAAATCCATTGCTGTACCCATTACATTTTGGGAACCCGCTTCAAACTTAACATTCGAATATCGCGAGATTGCTTATTTTGATTCCAACATACATTACATTTTTTTTAAAATTCAGTTTGGAATTGTAAAATGACAGCCAGCTTGCTAAAGTTTGCTCAAGATGAACACATAGGAAATTGTTACTTGAGTTTTAACAGTAATTTTTAGGATAGGTATTCTATTAGTGATGAAAAGATGATACTGTTTTTCTTTCCTTTTTTCGATATGTATTCAACTTTTTATTCCATGCAACTCCATAAACAGGCTTGCCAATGTTATATATTTCTGCACTTTTGTCACCATTTGTCTACTACTTAAGTCGGGTCACGATACATTATTTCGTGCCAAACGTCACAAGTAGTTCTTAACGCTATTCCTTCGAAATATTTGATCTATTTGATGGATTTGATAGCTTCAATGAAAATTAGAAATGTATGTTCTTGTAACCGGAATTTCGAGCGTTAGAAAGTATATTTATCACATTATACAAATATAATATAGTAACGGCCAGGTAACACTTAAGTGTTTTCCACGAAATTTGTATCCTGTTTTCCCCCAAAGTGGAGATGATTTAAACGTTCATGAAAAGACTGGAATGTTTCTATGAAAAAAAAAAAAATCACTCGCCCTCGATCCGACGGTCAAGGAATGTGATACTATTTATGTTCAATAACTTGCATTTATTACAAGAATATTTATATAACTTTTAATAAACAATTTTTAAAAAAAATGTTTTTCTTATTTTTGTCTTTTCTGTTCATTTAATATGTCACAAGCCTGCGTGGAAAAATAAACAGAAGTCAAGTAATACTTCAGAAACATAGTGAATATTAAGTCAGGCAAGTTTCTTGAAAAGCTATTACTTATAACCATGGTTTAAGATAAGTTTTCCCTGGTGCAAAACAAAAGATTGTTGCCATCGTATTTCCACTTGAAGTCATGTTGTATTCTACTTTGAGATGCAGACAAAAGCAATTTCAATAGACGTTTGAAGAAAACTCATATTAAAACAATACTCAATGCAACGTAATTGCGATGTAGCAATTTAAAGAATCCTTTATATTTCATAAATCTTTTTGGTAGAAGTTTCGTTCATCTAAACGCTCAGCTGACCTTCTAGAACCCGACTTGCTTAATGGCGGAGTTCACGGAGACGCCCCGCCATCTTGGACACGCTTCAGATTTTTAAATGCGAATATCTAGTGTGTGGATTGATCAATTCTAAAATAAATTATATATTAGTCCTTTCTAGTAGGGTCTTAATTACCGTTAATTATATCAAAGAAAAATATTGAAAAACAAAAATAGTTGAAAAAGTGCACATTTTGAATTCACTTCCTGTAGCGACCGGAAGTACTAACGACGCAAACGAAGGCAAAATTGCACATCTATAAGTCATGGTCTATCATCTCTAATAAGTCTCCAGTTAATATCTTGAGCCGTTTTCGAGAACATTCGAAGACAAAATTGCATTTTAAAATCAGGAAATTGCCCATAACTTGGCACTGGTAGCCAATTTTCCAACAAACGGGATTTTATATAAAATTCATATAGTGACCTATTATTCCTGAAATTTTCATTGAATTCCACCGAACAGTTTACGAGAAATCGCCTGCACAAAATTTTGTCTAAAAAAAAAAGAATAATAATAATAATAATAATAATAATAAGAAACAATAGAATCACTATAAGGTCTTCCGTGAAGACGGAAGACCTTAATAAGAAACCGAGTAAAAACAATATGTTCCCAAACTCCGTTTGGGGAACATAATAACTAGTGCTAATTGTAACGGGGACCGTTACAGATGTTCCCCAAACGCTCCCCAACTCCCTTTTGATGCCATATTCCCTGTAATCTCTATTAGATAAGAAATACTTTATGGAATTTAGACTTAATCAATGTCTTCCCAGAAAAATACAAAATATATTTTAAAATAGGCATTGCACGCATGTTCATGTGCATAACGACCATATTATCTTGTCTACACTATCTAAAATTTTAATATACTTAAGGTAAGTCACTCGTCAGCTTTTTAGAAAAGTTCACGCAGAACCTCTAACTTCAAAAATATTTATTAAAATTCAATTTTTATAAAATAGTTATATTCAACAATGTATATTTTTTAACAATCAAAGAAAAAACTGCTCAAAAATCTTCAAAGAAGCAAGATTTATTAGGGACTATTTTTCGTGGTGGAAGGATATTTAGCAGAAATTTCTGCAAATCTGCACATTTATTAAATTTAACGTCTTGAAACTTTAGCCTCACATACTTTTACTCGGAGAATATTTTCGGTTATGCTATTGATAGGAATATTTAATATAGGTCTTAATTTAAATTTTTAGAATAAGTTTTAGATCTTCCTTCAACAAACTTTGCCAAAAACTGGAGATATATCAAAGAAGTCAAGATAAATTTTACACTATTTTTTGCCTGAAAATCACATATTTTGTCCAATATTTCAAAATTAACATCACTGACCCCAACTTTTTCTTTCATTATTTCAAACTTCTCGATACTTATGACTGATCAGCACTTAAGTCATACAAAGCTTGATATAAGAAAATATTGTATTGCCTATTTATTTTTCTAATACCCAAAATATGTTATATTTTAGTGCAAAAAGGTCACATAATTATTTACGCGCATTAATTTGAAAGATTTGATCAATGATAAATATTATTCAAACTATTTTACGTAAATTAAGAATAAATTTGTTGCCATGGTTACAGCTGAAAAAATATAATAAGAGATAATTGTATAAAAGTAATAAACTAAGGGGTTAAAATTTAAGTGCAAATAGGTCAACTTAAATGTACCATACATCAGTGCGATGCACACTGACCACCTATTTTCTCTGCCATTTTGAGTCACACTTTATGTGTACTTATCAAAAATATACTTCTCAAAAAATCCTTGATATAAGAAATTTGAGGAGTGACTTACCTTAATATCAAAGCATTTAATCCAAAAGTATTAAAAAATACACTCATTCGAGTGTATTTTTAATTTTACTCATTTCACGTGCACGCACGCGCAAGCACATGCATAATGACTACACCTTCTTGAAGGAGTCCCTTATATTTATCTATGTTCTAAATCCAATCCTGTTTGGTTGAAAAACAAGGGAGTTATAGCCATTTGAAGTTTCAGCCAATCAGATTACAGCACACATGCATGCGTGTGATTTTATAAATTTTTATCTTAATCGTATTGAAGGATATCTGCATGAATGACTATATTTTAAAAT